TTGCATTTTATTCTGCATAGACATGCAAGTGGAACTGAATGGAGTTTTTCGGGACAGGACATTTTGGAGGGCTTTCATTTGCAGAGAAACCATAAGTTGGAAGTGAACTGAAGGAATGTATTGCGGGGGGATACTTTACATGGCATGCAGTTCTACACCATGTCAATGACTCCTCCTAGTACTGAACTCAGATATATCAACAGGATTGAAATTGAAATAGGCTTCTGAGAAACAACATGGAGGCACTGGCATATTTAGAGAACTCTGAGGTCTGCAGATCTTTCAAAAAGTAAAAATGAAGAAGGTGCTTCCACCTTTCCCCCTCCCCCAAAATATCTATCTAATCAGGATCAAAAATAATATGTAGAGTCATGGAATTTGGAAATAGAAGGAGATGAAATTGAAGATCTGGGACGGTGTTATGAGTGGCTGACTGAAGCCCTGCACAGGCATGGTTCTCTTAGGAAGTGAAGTTTGATGGTAAGTTTGTGTTGCTGCTCCCACTTTCCCCCTGTAACTCTTGAGGTAGTGGAGTGCAACATGCCGAGGGAGGGAAACTTTTCCATAAAGCTACAATTTTAAGGAGATTTCCAGTGCATTAGATAACTAATGCAATGGATGATGTTTGTTTCATTACAAACCAAACATCCAATGCAGTTGTAGTTTGCCATAGGATCCCCAAAACATTCATGTTTAAAATATATTGAGTGGTATTTCTAAAAGTAATGTCCTTTTCCTTTCAAAAGTAGATTAAAGCAACCCTCATATACCTGCCCTTGCCCATGACCTTCCACAAAACTGCCCCCAGGAAGAATAGAGGCCTGGCAAGTGGCAAAAGGGGCTGCCATTCAAGAAACACCAGCCTGACAGTGCAATTCGATATGGGTCTATTTCAAAGTCAGTCCTGCTGAGTTCAGGGCAGCTTTCTCTCAGGTAGGAATGGGATCTGGGCATGAAGCTTCCTTGAGCAGCCGTTGAGAAAGCCACAGCAGCAGGGAAGATGGGGTGGGCAACTTCTTTCAGCCAGAGGGGCTAACTCCATTTCAGAGAAGCCCTGAGTGGGCACTTGCTGGTGCTGGACACAGCTGAAGGCAAAAAAAGCCAGAACAATGGCAAAAAAGACAGGGCCAAAAATACCAGCACGCAGTCCTATGTGCATTTAAACAGAAATAAGTCCCACAACTCTGAGCATACCACAGCCAGCCATGCTGACTAGGACATGCCAGAAGTTATAGGATTATTTTCCATCTAAGGATGCTTAGGATTGCAGCCTTAAGCTCTTTGTCCAGTATCTAAGCTGTAGGAGTAGCGTTTCAATATATTAGATTGCACAAAAGTCGGAAAACCACCAAATTATTGGTTGTTTGAGGCAAGGATACGGGGCCAAGGGAAGGGATGATCTAAAAATTTGACCCCAGGACAAAGGCTGCTTCCACTAAAAGAAATGGGGGGTGGGGAACCTGATTAATTCCCACTTAATTCTGGAACAGATTGGCTGACTACTGTGTTCTTCCAATTGGCTTGGCAAGTATATTTCTCTGTTCCATTGCTGTTTTTAAAAGAAGAAACAAACATTTTCTGTTTCAAAGCCCATTTCTGGTTTCATTTAGCTCAGATATGAAAGCCAAGACAATTTAAAGTCAGGCAACAAGGAAGAAAAACATGGCCCTTCTTGCATCAGCAGCTTGGATACCAGGAAGTGAAATAGAAGAAAGGCTTGGCAACAGATCTGAAATCTTCCCTCTACTCTTGTATGATTTGTCTTTTGTTTATTTTTAAAAGTGCAGAGGAGCAACACGTATACCTCATATATCAGACTCTGGAAACTGCTTTTTCTTTATGCTGGAGGAGGGAGGTGCAGACACTGGAATAATTATAATATGATGTACTTTCATTAAAAAACAATTTTTAAAAACCACAGCAAACCAAATTCCTTTGCATGATTTTCTGGGCTCTGTCTATAAGGAGCACCATAGCTTAGAAGACACAAGCAGAAATGCAGGCCTGACTCCACCATACCAAAGCCCAGGGGCTTTCCTGCTTTTGCATAGATGTACCCTTGATTTCCCTTTCATGGATCACTGCCTCGCCATGGCGAAGGGGCTTGCGTAGCTCAATGAAGCTATGAGCTATGCTGTGCAGGGGCACCCAAGAAAGTCAGGTCATAGCACAGAGCTCTGACAAAAGCTGATCCACTGGGGAAGGAAAAGGCAACCCACCCCAGTATCTTTGCCATGAAAACCCCATGGATAGTACCAAACGGCAAAAACAAATGACGCTGGAAGAGAAGCCCCTCAGGTCGAAAGATGTCCAATGTGCTAATGAGGAAGAGCAGAGGGCTAGTACTAGTAGCGTCAGAAAGAATGAAGTGACTGGGTCAAAGCTGAAAGGACACTCAGTTATGGATGTATCTGGTGGTGAAAGGAAAGTCCGAAGCTGTAAAGATCTATACTCCATAGGAACCTGGAATGTAAGATCCATGAATCAAGGTAAGCTGAATGTGGTCAAACAAGAGATGACAAGACTGAACATCAACATCTTAGGAATCAGTGAACTAAAATGGACAGGAATGGGTGAATTTAATTCAGATGACCATCAGGTATACTACTGCGGGCAAGAATCCCTCAGAAGAAATGGAGTAGCCTTCTTAGTCAAGAAAGGAGTAGGAAAAGCTGTACTGGGATACAATCTCCAAAATGACAGAATGATCTCAGTTTGAATCCAAGGCAAACCATTCAACATCACAGTAGTCCAAGTCTATGTCGCAACCACTGGTGCTGAAGAGGCTGAAGTTGACCAGTTCTATGAAGGCCTACAACACCTTCTAGAAATAACACCAAAAAATGATGTCCTTATCATCATGGGGGATTGAAATGCTAAAGTAGGAAGCCAAAAGATAACCAGAATAATAGGCAAGTTTGGCCTTGGAGTACAAAATGAAGCAGGGCACAGGCTGGCAGAATTTTGTCAAGAGAATACGATGGTCATAGTAAACACCCTTTTCCAATAATCCAAGAGATGACTTTACACATGGACATCACCAGACAGTCAACACAGAAATCAGATTGACTATGTGCTCTGCAGCCAAAGATGGAGAAGCTCTATACAGTCAGTAAAAACAAGACCAGGAGCTGACTGTGGCTCAAATCATGAGCTTCTTGTTGCAAAATTTAGGCTTAAATTGAAGAAAGTAGGGAAAACACTAGGCCACTAAAACCATCCCAAAGAAAAAGAAATGCAAGAAAGCAAAATGGCTGTCTGAGGAAGCTTTACAAACAACTGAAGAAAGAAAGGAAGCAAAAGGCAAGGGAGAAAGGGAAAGATATAGCCAAATGGATGCAGAATTCCAGAGAATAGCTAGAAGAGATAAGAAGGCCTTCTTCAATGAACAGTACAAAGAAATAGAAGAAAACAATAGAATAGAAAAGACTAGAGATCTCTTCAAGAAACTTGGAGATATGAAGGGGACATTTCATGCAAAGATGGACATGATAAAGGACCAAAATGGCAGCGACCTAACAGAGGCAGAAGAGATTAAGACGAGGTGGCAAGATTACACAAGAATTATACAAGAAAGGTCTTCACATCCCTGATAACCACAATGGGGTGCTCACTGACCTCGAGCCAAACTTCCTGGAATATGAAGTCAAGTGGATTTTTGAAAGTCTTAGCAACAACAATGCTACCGGAGGAGACAATATTCCAGCTGAGCTATTCAAAATCCCAAGAGACCACGCAGTTAAAGTGCTACACTCAATATGCCAGCAAATTTGGAAAACACAACAGTGGCCACAGGATTGGGAAAGGTCAGTTTACATTCCAATCCCAAAGAAGGGCAATGCCAAAGAATGTTCAAACTACCGCACCATTGCACTCATTTCACATGCTAGCAAAGTTATGCTCAAAATCCTACAAGCTAGGCTCCAGCAGAATGTGGACCAAGAACTATCAGAAGTACAGGCAGGGTTTCGAAGAGGCAGAGGAACTAGAGATCAAATTTGTCAACATATGCTGGATCATGGAGAAAGCTAGGGAGTTCCAGAAAAACATCTACTTCTGCTTCATTGACTATGCTAAAGCCTTTGATTGTGTGGATCACAACAAATTGTGGCAAGTTCTTAAAGAGATGGGAGTGCCAGACCATCTTATTTGTCTCTTGAGAAACCTATATGCAGGTCAAGAAGCAACAGTGACAACTGGGCACGGAACCACTGATTGGTTCAAAATTGAGAAAGAAGTTTGGCAAGGCTACATACTGTCGCCCTGCCTATTTAACTTATATGCAGACGTCATTATGCAAAAGGCAGGGCCAGATGAATCACCAGTTGGAATTAAGATTGCTGGGAGAAATATCAACAACCTCAGATATGCAGATGATACCACTCTCAGGGCAGAAAGTGAAGAGGAACTAAAAAGCCTCTTGATGCAGTTGAAGGAGGAGAGCACAAAAGTTGGCTTGAATCTCAACATTAAGAAAACTAAGATCATAGCATCCATTCCTATCACTTCCTGGCAAAACAATGGGGAAGAAATGGAGGTAGTGACAGGAATTATTTTCCTGGGCTCCAAGATCACTGCAGACGGGGACTGCAGCCAAGAACTTAAAAGATGCTTGCTCATGGGGAGGAAAGCTATGGCAAATCTAGGCAGCCTACTAAAAAGCAGATACATCACCCTGCCAACAAAAGTTCCTATAGTCAAAGCTATGGTTTTCCCAGTTGCAACGTATGTCTATGAAAGTTGGACCATAAGGAAGACCGAGTGCCGAAGAACTGAGGCCTTTGAATTGTGGTGCTGGAGAAGACTCCTGCGAGTCCCTTGGACCACAAGGTGATCAAACTGGTCAGTCCTAGAGGAGATCAATCCTTACTGCTCTTTAGAAGGCCAGATACTGAAGATGAAACTCAAATACTTTGGCCACCTTATGAGAAGGAAGGACTCACTGGAGAAGAGCCAAATGCTGGGAACGATTGACAGCAAAAGAAGAAGGGGATGGCAGAGGATGAGGTGGATAGATGGAGTCACTGAAGCAGACACCATGAGCTTAAGTGGACTCTGGGGGATGGTGGAGGACAGGAAGGTTTGGAACAATGTTGTCCATGGGGTTGCGATGGGTTGGACGCATCTTCACAACTAACAATGAAGTATAGGTGTGAATGTACTGTTTTATAGGGTGACCATTTATGCATTGCCAAAGAATGAAATAAGCAAAGCATTTGCATCACCAGAAACAGGTATAAAAGAAGACACCAATTTGTGTGGTCTGCACATGCAAATTTATATGTATGAGTGCAAAATTACAAATTATAACTATAATTAAATAGCAGTAAAATGCATCTTATTGTGGAGACGAATGGCCTCATGACAATGTTTGCTCACTCAATCTGCTGTTGGTGGACAGTTGCAAGTCCCCTGCTCTGCCTCCTTATGGTTCTTTCACTTGAAATCAGACCTAGAATGAACCGTCCATGAAACACAGGACACCTTCTGTATAAAGCGGGACACCAGAGCACCCTACGGTTTTGACTGTAACACTGTTTCCTGTCCAGCAGCAGATGCTTATGAAAAGCATAGATGTGTTCATTTACAAGTGTGATCCTATGTCTGTATGATAGGATATTGTGACTCTTTCCTTCCACATGCAGAGCAAGAGGTTCATGTGCAGATATTTGCTAGTGGTTTGGGATGAGGTGATTGCATTTATTTTGTGTTTTCCGCCATCTAGTTGAGAGCCATTGTGATGTTGTGGTTAGAATATTGGACTGAGACTTGGGAGATCTGAGCTCTAGTCCTCACTCAGCCATGAAACTCACTGGGTGACTTTGGGCCAGTTACTGATTCTCAGCCTAATCTATCACACAGGGTTATTGTGAGGATAACATGGGGAGGAGAAGAATAATTTAAGTCACCCTGAGTTTCTCAAAGGTAAAAAAAGGCAGGATTAATAAATGGCTCCGTTTAGCTAGCTCAATAGCATATTCTGGTGGTTTCCAAACTTCAGTGGTCCTACAATAATCTCTTTGACAGAGAAAGATCAGCAGGAAAGATAAACAAAAAGCTGAGGGGAGAAGGATATTGGTTAATCTATCAGTAAGATTTAAAAGGGGGGAAAATCCCATCTCAATTACCGATAGCTTGGATTACAGATGATAGCTTGATATGGGAAGGCTGAGGACATGGTGTGCTGCGACTCACCTGCATGCTAGATGTATAAGTAACCCTGCAGAACATACAGAAGAGGCCGGCAGGACAGGCAGACACATACCACTATGATCCATAAAACATTTTTAGGCATTGTTGGCAACGTCTGGATTCTTTTTTTTAGATGGGCCTCGATTTATGGCTTTCGGCTGATTTATTCTTTGTCATTGCTTTAGGCCAAGTAGCCAACTGAAACATGAAAGATTTCTTTCCTTAGACTAATCCGAGCAAATCCAACAGAGAAACATACTTGCAGAAATTTGTAGAGAGGGATGTAGACATGGTAGAGGATATATTTCATTTTATCCATGTGATTTACTACCTCCCGCATTTAGTAAGAATTGTGTGTTTATGCACTAACTTGTGATGGTTCCTGTCAACATGATCAGAACTGTTTATCCCTTTAGTGAGACCTTAAAACATTTGTCTTTCACATTCTTTCTAAATATTTGCTTAAGGATACTGCTAACACTCTTCTCCTGGTAAGTGCAAAAAAGCCTGATCCAGACAAAGTTGAGAAATTTGAATTCTGCAGCTGGAAAGAATGAATTTATTATTTCACCTGCCACCACTACCAAAGGACCTCAGGGCAGAATACCTGGTTCTCTATTCTTTCCTCACCAGCTTATGAAATAAACTTGGCTGAAAGGTAGTGATGGACCTGGGTTACCTGCTGTGCTTTATGGTGGAACAGAGATTTCGACCAGTTTGCCTCAGTCTACATCAGATAGCAGACCTGTAGTCAGGGAGAGAGTAGGATCAAAAGGCAGGAGGGAACACTGTAGCCTGCCCTGGGTTTCCTGGCACTGGCAGCAACTGCAAAACCAAGGATGCTTCCAAATGGAGGGCTCCCAGCATGGTGTATAGACAAGAGTGTGGTGGGGGGGGGTGTCTTTGAGAGTCCGCTGTGAGTGTACAATGAAAAGAACATTTACAGTTTATTCAGACACACAGTAAATGCTTGAGGCATGTAGGCAGCCTCCAAAGGGACTACCAAGATGGAGTCTGTACAAGATCCTTTTTTAATCTGTTACATACAGGTTGGAGGAGGGGTGGAGTTTGGTTTGCTAGAGGTACATTAGGGTGAAACAATAGGGTTGAACAGAATACAAAAAGAAGAACCTTCAGGACAGATAAACAATTAGCATATCTAAGAGAGTGCTTCAGTAGGACAGGCAAGCATTAGCATCTCTAAGGTGTACATGGTATAACATGGATTCCTGATCAGATCAGGAATCCCACCTTGTCCAAAGCTATTCTTACAGTGTCAGGCTTTTAGCAGCCACATTATGGCAGAGCTTTATGCTCATTTTGTCTTGACAGTATCACAGAACTAATCTACCCTTTCTTCCTTAGCAGATTTTCTGCAGTAAGAAAAAAGAACAGTGTGATAAGATGGGAGGCTCATGAGTGGAAGACAAAGACATCCAGATGAGAGCTGTGAAAGCTTGGAGAAGACTGGTGGGGACCAGATAAATGGCACCCCCCACCCACAAATCGTCCAAAATTCCATGTAAAAAAGGGAGGGGGAGACCATGACATGACTTTTTATCTAATTTCTCTGTTCCCTTCCTTTTTTGTCTCCTCCACCCCCTGGCTCTTAACATCTCATCCACACCCACTCTACCCATCCCAAATAAAATAAGAAAGATCCTGGCATGGAAAAAAAATAATCTGGAAGCACTACAGGCTTTTTTTTTTTTTTTTTTTAGAGGGGTCGGTTAAACTCATGCATGAGGATGGTAAATGAATGCATTTTCCTTCACCTCTATGGGGTGCCTTGATCTTTGATGTTCTTGCAGTACTTATGGAAGATAAACAGAAGCAATATTCAAACAGAAGCACCACTATTCTGAACCCTTAGCTGCTTTGCCCGAGATGTATCTATGCATACACAAGAGCAACAGAGTTCTTGTATGGGGAATGTAGGGCTTGTGAGACACAGAATGGTGACACCCTGTGTGTGATTGAGGAATACGTTCCTTCATTCCTGCTAGAATGGTCTGTACAGAGGTAAGAGGTGTTAAGAGGCCATGGCATCAAGTGTCCAGAAAAAGGCTAGGGCTCAGCTCCAAAGTAGTCAGGGTAGGATATGAAGATCCCAGGAAGAGTGCTGCTGATCACATGTACAGGCCCCAGAACACACTGGTAAATGAACAGGCCTCTCATCTCCACAAATATCATAATATTGGGACTCAGAGCAGTGTCTACAAGGCATTTGTGATACATGTATAAAAGGATGTGCTTGTGTCTCATATTGCCATGCCTGGCTGAAAGTACAAATGGGGAAGCCAGAAATGCAAGAAATTAAAAAAGAAGCTATACCGGGCCCAGCTGGGCTGCCAGCAGAGTTTTGCAAATCCTTCGAAGGAGTCTTTGCTACGCTTCTTAAAGATATATGTAATGCAGCAGTGTTAAATGATAAAATACCAAATACTTGGACAGAGGCAAATATTACATTAATACCGAAAGAAGATACGGATTTAACGCAGATTCAAAATTACAGACCTATATCATTATTAAATGTGGATTAAAAATTTTTGCCTCCATAATGGCAGAAAGATTAAAGAAGTTTTTAATAGACTTTATTCATTCAGACCAAAATGGTTTTTTGCCTAAAAGACAAATGAGGAATAATTTGAGAACTATCTTGGATATCCTAGAGTATTATGAGATACATACGGAAAAACCAATGGCTTTATTATTTACGGACGCTCAGAAAGCCTTTGATAATGTCAACTGGCAATTTATGAAGCAACAGAGGTTGGCTCAAATGGAGTTTGGTGAAAAGTTTATTAATGCAATATAAACATTTATCAAAAGTAGTCGGCTAGGATTATAACTAATGGAGAATTTATAAAGATTATAGAGATACAAAAGGGTACAAGACAAGGATGCCCATTATCACCTCTTTTGTTTATACTGATTTTAGAAGTGTTGAATAGAAATATCAGGGATGATGTGGACATTAAAGGTACCAGAATTAGAGATGAAAGTTACAAATTGCAAGCATTTGCAGATGACCTGGTTTTCATAACAGAGGAACCCTTTGCAACAATGCCTAAACTCCTACAAAGGATTGAAGAATATGGCGAGGTTACGGGGATGAAAATAAAGAAAAGACAAAACTGTCAGTTAAAAATTTTACACAAGACCAGAGAAAAACTCTGCAGGAACAAGTAGATTTGCAGATTGTCAAAAAGGTTAAGTATTTGGGAATTTATCTTACAGCTAAGTGTACCACTCTGAAAGAAGACAATTATGATAAACTATGGAAGGATATTAAGAGTGACCTGGAAAAATGGGCTAATTTGCAACTCTCTTTGATGGGAAGAATAGCACTTGTTAAAATGAATATATTACCAAAGCTTTTGTTTTTATGCCAAATGATTCCCATAAAAATTGATAGAAATTTTTTTGATGATTTAAATTTTCAAATTTCAAGATTTATATGGAGAAAGAAGAAACCAAGGATTAAATTAAAAATACTTCAGGAATATAAAGAGAATGGGGGTTTTGGTCTCCCTGATTGGATTTTGTATTCTCAAGCTTCTGTTTTAACATGGCTAAAAGAGTGGATAACTTTAAGAAAGAAGATAATTTTGTATCTTGAAGGGCATGATTTGCAAATGGGCTGGCACGCTTATATGTGGTATGAGAAGGCTAAGTCACATGGTTCTTTTTTAAGTCACTATATTAGAAAATCATTAATGGCGGTGTGGGAAAAGTTAAAGATAAAACTGTATAATAAATTACCAAGATGGCTTTCACCCATGGAAGCTTTTGTGTATCCAAATGCATTGAATTTTGAAGGGATTATAAAATATGATGATATTTTGGATAAGGATGGAGGCCTGAAATTGAATGAAGAAACACAAGAACAGGAATCTAATATCTCTTGGTGGCATAAGGTGCAGATACAATCGAGATATACTAAAGATTG